TGCTGCTTGATGATGATAAAACAAAATGCATTTATTACTTTTGCCTTGACTGATTTTATAAGCTTGTAGAGATGATTTTTTGATTTGATGACTATTATGTTTTTTGCACGGCCAAACTAATTCTTTTGTTCGAGTAAACCACGCGCACACGTGAAATTTATATTAAAATATATTAAATTAGTTATAGTAGGTTAAATTTAAATTTAAATCTAATAATGTGGTAATAAATTAAATGTATTATTTATGTTTTCTTTTTGCTGGTAATTTTAAAAAAATAGATGTCGAGATGAAAAACAAAATGATGTTAGTTATGTTCGTTGTTAGTTTCTGTGAACCATAAATAATATTTCTTCCATTTTTAATATTGTCTTAGCGTATAAATTAAAAAGATGTTTTTCATATTGTGCTCTGTTTGTTTTATTATGCAGATCGGTACAGTGGTTTCTTTTCTTTGATTTGATTGTCGCATTATAGAAAATACATGGTATTAAGATAAGATAAATAACTTTTTTGTTTTGTTGTGGAAGTGGGATGGATTTTTAGTGCAGGAGCTGATGTGTGTGAAGAAGTAATTATTTTTAAAATTGTTTTGTGTGTTGATTATGTAATTAAGTAGGTGTAAGTGGTATTTAATAATATTTAATATAAAAATAGAAATGGACTCTACTGACGAGTATTGATGTTATGCAAATTTCAACTCTACTGACCAGCAAACTTTAATAACAGAAGAAAAGGACTCTACTGACTATTAAAATAAAAGAGAAAAAGGACTCTACTGACGAGCAAAAATAAAAAAGAAGGACTTTACTGACAAAGAAAATTTAAAAAAGACGAGACTCTACTGACGATCAATAATAATTGAGAATTTGCAAATTTTAGAGGGGGACGATAAAAATATAAGTGCGAGGTTAAAATTAATTCTAGTGACGAGGAAAAATAAAAAAAGAAGGGGACTTTACTGACAATCAAAATGAAATAAAAGAGAGACGAGATTTTACTGACCTATATTAAAAGGGACTTTACTGATAAGCAAACTTAAATACATGAGAGACTCTACTGACGAGCAAACTATAATGAAATAGAAAGGGATTGACGAGCGAAATAGAATTAGAGGGAAAAGTGTTTCTAAAGACAATTCAAAAAATGGGACTCTACTAACAAGCAAAATGAAATAAAAATAAAAAAAACTCTACTGATTAGTGACTACTGACTAGCAAAATAGATGTAGATATAGACTATTAATAGCAAAATTAAAACAAGGACTCTACTAACAAATATATTTTTTTGAATTTAAATGACTCGACTGAAATATTTAAAAAGGACTCTATTATCAAGGGTTTTTTTTAAATGAAATGAAAATATTAAATGAAAAGGGACTCTACTGACGAGTAAACTGAAATAAAAGAAGAAAGGGACTCTACTGACGAGCAAATTGAAATAGGAACTCACAAGCAAATTGTTAACTAATGTTAGAAAAATAAAAATGGAAATTTACCGACGATCTTCTCGATTCATAAGATAAATATAGGACTAAATTAAATATCTAACATGTAAAAAGGACTCTACTGGCGAGCAAATTGTAATATCGATCTGAAAGTTAACAAAAGGACTCTACTGACGAGCAATTTTAATTTAGCAATTAAATTAAATAGAAGCTGATAAAATTGAATATGAATGTAAAATGTAAGAAAGGACTTTACTGGAAATGAAAAAATGTAATTGTAAATAGATTACAAAAAGAACTCTACTGATGGGCAAATTGATTATCTAATTAAAAGATAAAAAAGATTCTACTAACGAGCAAAATTAAATATCTAGAGACAAAGAATTAGAAAAGGGACTCTACTGACGAGCATTTAATATCTAATTAAAATTTGAAATGGACTTTATTGACGAGCGAATAAAATATAAAAAGACTCTACTGACGAGCAAATAAAATATAAAAAGGACTCTACTGACAAACAAATTTAGATAAAAAAAAAGGACTCTATTGACGAGCAAATTAAATTTTTAAATAGAAAATAATAAAAGGCACTTTACTGACGAGCAAATTAATCATCTAATTAAAATAAAAAAGGACTCTACTGATGAGCAAACTAAAAAGGACTATTGACGAGCAAATTAAAAAGGACTCTACTGACGAGTCAATTAAATGTCTAAATGAAATATAAAAAATACTCTACTGACGAGCAAACTAAATATCTAATTAAATTATAAAAAGGACTGTACTGACGAGCAAATTGAGAAAGGACCCTACTGACAAACAAATTTAGTTAGAAAGAAGAAAAGGACTTTACTGACAAGCAAATCAAATTTTTAATAAGAATATAAAAAACAACTCTACTGACGAGCAAATAAAAAGGACTCTACTGACAACCAAATTAAATTAGGAAAGGAGAAACTGACTTAACTGACGAGCAAATTTAAAATGATTTTACTGATAAGCAAATTAAATATCTTATTAAAATATAAGAAGGACTCTACTGACTAAAAAATTAAACATCTAGTTAAATTATAGAAGAAACTCTACTGACAAGCTAATTAAATTAAAATTAAATATCTTATTGAAGCAAAATTAAATATCTTAATAAAATATGAAAAGGATCTAATGGAGATGTAAAAAGGACTCTACTGACGAGCAAATTAAATATAAAAAGGACTCTACTGACAAGCAAATTAAATATTTAATTTATATATAAAGAGGACTCTACTGATGAGCAAATGAAATATGTAATTAAAATATAAAGTGGATCTAATGTAATTATAAAAAGGACTCTACTGACGAGCAAATTAAATATCTAACATATAAAAGAGAAAGACAAATTAAATAGCAAATTAAATTTTTAATAAAAATATTAAATTAAATTAAAAAAGGACTGAATAAAGAAACATCTTAAAATATTATAGGCCTAGGAGAAAAAATGGTTTAATAAAGCGTGCCCTTAGGGCATACACCATGTATGTCCTAAGTAATTTAAATTTAAATCAACTGTTTTATTTTAAACAAATTTTTACAAAATTAAAAAAATGTGTAATAGCTATATGGCTATATATAAATATTATAAGAGCTTTACAGCGATTCGGTATACTTATAAATGACTCATAAATATATTTATTTACATATACACTACTTGCCTTAATGCAAAATACCACTTACTCCCAGTCAAAATTACAACAAACAAATATCTTACAACATAAAAACCAAAAACCTTTACCCTTATTCACAGTTAAAATTCAAATTCAACATTTAACCCGCCATTGCATCCATCTTTCACCCCGCTATGCCGCCAACTTCTCTTCAATCTCCATTATGACAGCTCGCACTGCTTTCGACACCTGTCACCTTGACATCTTCTGTCATCGGTCATCTTTGGTCTCACTCGATCCTTCTCAGCGGATGTGCCGTGCACTGTAGCTTCGTTTTAATTAAGTAGCCATCTTTTCACGAACATTTTTAATTCTCAAATTTATAGTTGTTTTTAGTGTAAAATTATTTAAATAGCGTGTTAAATGTCAGAGCCACAGTCTTCATTGTTATTAAAAAAACAACTAGCAGGTAATAAATGATAAAGGAGATATGAATTTAATCGGGTTTTGTCAAAGGTCGAATGCCGGGGTTATTGTAATGCCTTTAGTAAAAGATATATAATATATATATATATATATGTATTAAAATGGTTTTTGTAGGTTTGAACTAGGTGTGGGTGATGTCCAAGGGCTATTTTGTATGTTTTGAGTCTTTTACAGCCCCCGGTAGATAAAAAATCAATACTGCAATTGTCATTGTGTATTGTCAAAATTTATACAAAATTGTACTAAAATCATGTATAATGTAGAAAATTATACACAAATTTAGTTTTAAACATCATTTTGTATGTAATTACACGTTTTTTGCAAGTCTAAATGTCCAAAAAGTACAAAAAACTATACATAACCTATAATTTGTTTAAAGGTTATCAATATGATTCATCAGTTTGCATGAAATTTACAAAAATGGTATAAAAATGGACGCTTGTAAATGTTTTAGCTTGTAAATCTGTATATATTTCTAGTATTTGTGTATTTATAGTATGAAAATTTAGTATTTGTGAGTTTCTTTGTTCTTTTTGTAAGGGCTCTCGATTTATAGCCAGAGTTTGTAAATTCTTTAATCGAAGGATTTTGTGTATGATGAGATACATCAGTTGTTTGTTATAATAATAGTTTGTATAATATATATGTGTATATATATATATATATATATATAATATATATATTGAATGGTAGAATCTTGGATTTGTGTATATATATATATATATATATATATATATATATATATATATAGCAGATGTAAATATAGTCAAAGGCTTTTCTATGCAATTAGATCCATTAATCGTTTGTTATAATAGTTTATTATTTATATATATATACATAAATATATATATATATATATATATATATATATATATATGTTATTATTATCTCGATATTTATATATATATATATATATATTATATATATATAAATAATTATTAATTTAACAAATAATATTTGAAAGAAAATTTTATTGACATATATGACAAAAGTATAATAAATAATAAAATAATAATAAACAAAAAACTATGATGCGAGTGAATTAATTTTTGAAGTATGAAATGTCAAATAATTTTGAAAATTATAACAAATTTTTAACTATTTGTCAAAAAATCAGAGTCCAAATCTATTAAATGTTTGATTTTTGGCACTTTTATTAATTTTTTATCAATTTAGGCATATTTTTTATGGCAAAACAACATTTGCCGGGTTAGCTAGTATATATATATATATATATATATATAAATAATATATAAAATCTTAAAAATCTTAAAATTTGTACAATCATAAATATTATTGATCGTCCTTTTTTACTTCTGCCAGCTCGTCAGTAGAGTTCCTTTTTCTTTTATTGTTTGCTTGTCAGTAGAGTCCCTTTCCTCTTTTTTATATTAAAGTTTCCTCGTCAGTAGAGTCCCTTTCCTCTTTTTTATTAAAGTTTGCACGTCATTTAGTAGAGTCCCTTTTTATTTCAATTTGCTTGTCAGTAGAATTTCTTTTCTATTTTTATTATAGTTTGCTCGTCAGTAGAGTCCTTTTTATATTTCTAAGTGAATCTAGAATTTAGTATTTGTGAATTTCTTTGTTCACAAAGACTTTGTAATTTTTTTGACAAGGGCTCTCTCGATTTGTAGACATTTTGTTTGTAAATTTTAAGCCGGAAGCTTTTCTATGCAGTTTGATACATCATTCGTTAGTAATAATAGTTTATTATTTATATATATATATATATATATATATATATATATATGATAAAATTGTTCTTGGGCATCCATCTAGTAATTAAAAACAGTTTTATTGAAAGAAAATGTTTTTATTCAGAAAACATACGTTTCGGGTCTTGATTTGACCCATCTTCAGTGCATACAAATAAAATTGAAAAACACACGAAATTGCACAAAAAAAATAAATATGAACTATGAAATATGCAACAATAAAACTCATTTTTATTGTGTAATTTTTTTGTCTACTTTTGTCTAGATTAATTATATTACTCAAATTTATATTATTTTTTGAATGTTTATTTTATTTACTAGGTTGATTGTATTACTCAAATTTATATTATTTTTTAAAAATTGATTTTATTTATGTATATTTTACATAAGTATGTTTCCGTTTTACTAATGTTTGATTGTCCTATCTAGAATTAAATAAAAATCCAGTGGACGGATTCTCCGCTGGCTTAGTAGACGACAATGATATATACAAATGGGAAGTGCTCATCATTGGACCTCCGGAAACGCTATAGTAAGTTTTTTTTTTTAATTTCATTATTTGTTAAATTAAATTATTTATACTTTGAAGAGCAAATTATACATTATTATTAGATTTGCCACAATACAAACAAGTGTTTTAAGTTTTATTTTTATTCAAATCAATAATTAGTTAACCAAAAACTTATATTTTAAAAACACTTAGAAAATTGTGAAAAAAATACTTCCTTCATCAAAATACCTAAAAATTTGTAAAAAAAAAACTTATATTGTAAAAATACTTAACATTAATAATGAAAATGGTAGTGATAATAATAATAATAATATAAGACACTTAAATTTGTTAAAATATCATAAAATAACCTAAAATTTGTTAAATAAAATAATTATATTGTAAAAGTATTGTAAAGCTTATTGAAATACTTATTAAATTTTTAAAAAATACTTGCAACAAACTAGTTATATTTAAAAATAATTAAAATTAACTAAATATAAATAAGTTTATAGTAAATAAATTAAATAATAAATAAATAAGTAATAAAATAGCTAATAATTAATTATATTATATTAAACATATAAAATATTGACTTAAGCCTTATTATAATATTATTATACTGACGGCTTGTAAAATAAATAAATAGTCATTAGAATATTTATAAAATATAACTAGATGCTACTGGCATTTTGCCTTAAGGCAAGTTGCTTTAACTTGCTGATATATAAAAATATCAACCTAAACAACAAGAAATGAAACATAAGCAAATTAAATTTATAAAATTACACAATTATGCTAAAATAAGAGTTATACACAATTGAGCTATTATTAACTAATATTATTGAATTTCTTTTTTCAAATAAAAATTTAAAAGTGATTAATTAATTTTAATTTGTTTGACCTAGATGATTTAATTATATTATTATTTTTTTTTTTTTAATTTCAATAATTATTACAACTGCTAATTTATTAACATCAAGTAATATTGATAAATTTTAATATAAATTTAAATAAATATAAGAGCAAAGGATAAAATTTACATGAAAATAATATCTGTAATATGATTGAATGTAAAATATAAGCAAATAATAATAAAAATAAGATTAATAAATAATATAAATAAAATTTCAGAATAATAAAATACTAGAAAAATAATAAAATATAACAAAATAACAATAATAGAAATAGTAAGATAATAATAATAATAATAATAATAATAATAATAATAATAATAATAATAATAACAATAATAATAACAATAACAATAATAATAATAATTTAATTATATAAACTTTAGAATTAAAATATTGAGTATTTTCTTAATATTTAAAACCACAAATTTATATATTTAAAAATTCTAAATTTTCATGAATTTATTTATTACACAGTTTGTGTAAATAATCAGTAAAGATTGAGACTAAGTAACTTTTTTAAATAGACACTAAAATAAATAACTAGTTGAAAGTGGCATTTAGCCTTAAAGTAAGTTGCATGAACTTCCTTAAGGTATTTGTAATAATTAACTTAATCTAAATTAGAATTTAGATATTTACATAAAATATTTAACTGCAGTTACCATTGATTTACTGTAAAAAATCTGTTTTTAATATGAATATATTTAACTCTTTGTGTTTACTAATTTTTAAACAAAATTTATTAAAATTGTGGTAAAACCAATTTGTTTCTTACTTTTTCAAAGATCCTAACAAGAATTGTAACTGTTCAATATTAGAGTTTATTTCTTAAAGTTTATAATATATATATATATATATAATATATATATATATATATAAAATATAATTGATGATTCTGAAAAATAAATTAATTAATATTAACTATGCATTTTATTAATTTGTATATTTTTCCTTACAGCGAAGGAGGATTTTTTAAGGCACACCTAGACTTCCCAAAAGAGTACCCATTGAGGCCTCCAAAAATGAAATTTGTTACCGAAATATGGCATCCAAATAGTGAGTACTAAATATAAACATTTTTAATTATATATCTACATTTAATGTAATAAAATGTATTTTCAAACAAAAATATTGAAGCTAAAACAATATGGATGCCTTGCAATGACTTTAATTTCAAAGTTTAACGAATTTTCTTGCATAACTTTGTTCCAACACTTGCAAATTGTTATATACAGATTTATAGATAATTTTATTTACTTTCTAGTGGTATATTACAATAAAAAATCTTAAAGATTAATTTTATCAAAATAATAGTAAATATAAAAAATGTAACCCATGGCTAATTAAATTTTAAACTTCACTAATTTTTCTTAATTAATTTTGTTCGAAAATTTATCAAACGTTATATACAGATTTGTAGATAATTTTATTAGCTTTCTAACAATATATAATACTATTGTTATATATTAAACATTTATAACAAATGTGCTAATGATATGATATTAACATTTGTTTTAAGATTTTTTAATTTGCTCGTCAGTAGAGCCGTTTTCATATTTTTTTCTAAATTTGCTTGTCAGTACAGTTATTTCTACATTTTCATTGCCAGTAGAGTTATTCATACAATGCAACAAAACAACTTGTTATAATTTGTATATAAAGTGTTTCAAAATTACTGCATTTAATTTTGAACAATGTACCCAAACACAATGAAGTTGTCCGCGGTTTGGTACTGTCAACTCTTGTTTTGACCGTTAAGATTTGAATTTGAATTTACAAAGTAATATTTATATTTTTATCAATGACTATAATATTATATTGCTGACTTGAGTTTAACAATATACAATAACTTTTTACCTCCTTTCTTAAGATATAACGTTATATCTAAAAAATAAAAATGCCTCATATCCAAATGATGCAAAATATGAACAAATGTAACCTGTTATCTTAAATCCACCTGTTATCATTATTTAATTTTGTGAGCAAAGAAATTATACATCAAATACAGATTTGTAAATAATTTTATCGGCTATTCAAAAACATATAATATTATTCTTATATTTTAATTGTTTATACTAAAATTCACGCGTATATGGAAAACTGTACGGCAAAACAACTAACAATTTGTTTATAAAATGTTTCAAAATTACTGCATTTAATTTTGAACAATGTACCCAAACACAATGAAGTTGTACGCGGTTGGGTACTGTCAACTCTTTTTTGACGGTTAAGATTTGAAATTGAATTTGCAATGTAAAATTTGTGTTTTTATCATTAACTAATAATACTATACAATTACTGATTAAGTTTGTAATACAATATATTAATATCATTATATATTAACTATTGATAATATCATAATAGTATAAATGTTATTATACATTGTTTTATATACAGGTTTATAAATATTTATCAATTAACTTGCAGCAAATATAAACGTAACAGAATGTTTCGTTAATGTTACATTTTTTTTGACAATTAATAACATATCAGAAATAATTTCTAATTATTTTTCTTTTTTCTAGTTGAGAAATAGTAATTAAATATATAATAATGAACTTTCAAAGCACAGTGCTTATAACTAGATACTTTACACATTTTTCTTATTTAATTTTGTTGGAAAAGTTTTTAAACGTTATATACAGATTTGTAGAGAATTTTATTAGCTTTCTAACGATATATAATACTATTGTCATATTTTAACTTTGTTTAACAAAATGAACGTGCAATCGATGAAACAAACATACATATTGAATGCAGCAAAACAACTTTTCATAATTTGCATATAAAATGTTTCAAAATTACTGCATTTAATTTTGCACAATGTACCCAATACAATGAACTTAGCCGCGGGTTGGTACTGTCAACTATTTACCGACCGTTGACGTTTGAATTTGAATTTACAATACAAAATTTGTGGTTTTATCATTAACTCAAATATTGCATATTTGATAATTAATTTCTAACCAAATATTTGATTTAATTTTTTCTTTCTAGTTGAGAAAAATGGCGATGTGTGCATATCTATACTGCACGAGCCAGGCGATGATAAATGGGGCTACGAGAAGGCTTCGGAGCGTTGGCTGCCCGTGCACACAGTCGAAACGATATTAATTTCAGTCATTTCAATGCTTGCCGATCCAAATGATGAAAGTCCTGCCAATGTCGATGCTGCGGTAAGATAATAGATAGATAATAGATGATTTGTGGGTTTATTCTCGGATAAAATTGCTATGTTATATAAAAGAGTTCTTGTGGTAACATAATGTTTCGAATATTTTATATCTTGTTTTCTCGATGTTGATGGTCTTGAGACTGTCAATAGGTAAATGCAGAGGGTTTTTTTTACATCTTTGATACTCTCAACTGTCAAAACTAACCACCAAATAATATAAATGTTAAGGTCTTTAGAGTTCTTTTTTGTTTCTTGAATGATATTCTACCAGTAATTTTCGAATTTGTTCGTTGGTAGAGTTCTTTTTATTTATTATGGATCATGAATTTAAGACATAGACATACATTGGTTATCACTAGAGTCCTTTTCTTCTCATGTCTGCCAGTAGAGTTACTTCTTTACAAGAAATACATTTTTTTTTTTTTTTAAATATTTTACCAATTTCCGAATTTGGTCGTCAGTAGAGTCCTTTTGTCATTTCAAAGTCTATTTAGATCCAGTTTGCTTGTCAGTAGAGTCCCTGTTTTCATTTAAATTTAATTTGTTTGCCAGTATAACTCTTTTTTCACAAAATCCATTTGAATTCAACTTGCTTGTCAGTAGAGTTCTTTTTTATATATTTGAATTTAAAGGAATCTCAATTTGCTCATCAGTAGGCTCCTTTTTTATGAATGTTGTTTTTATGAATGAATTTGATCGTTAGTAGAGTCCTCTTAATATTTAAGATATCCCTAGATATCGCTCGGCAGTAGAGTCCTTTTATTGTAAAGTCTAATTTATTCATCAGAATTTTTTTTTATGAATATCTTTAATAAGTATCATTTTGTTTGTCAGTAGAGTCCCTTCTTTTGAAATTAGGTTTGCTTGTCAGTAGAGTCCATTATCCCATTTCAAAGTTTTAGATTTATTTTGCGTGTCAGTAATCTTTTTTTAATTTCAAATTTCATCTATATTTAATTTGCTCGTCATTAGAGTCCCTTTTGTCATTTAAAGGATTCAGATCTATTTTGCTCCTCAGTAAAGTCCCTTCTTTGGAAATCAAATTAAATTTGCCTGTCAGTAGAATCTTTCAGCTATTTAGATGTCTATTTGAATTCGATTTGCTCGTCAGTACAGTCCTTTCTTTATTTCAAATTCGATTTGCTTGTCAGTAGAGTCCTTTCTTATCAATTTTAAATTATAAATTTAGTTTGCAAGTCAGTGAGTCATTTTAAATTTTATTTAAATTTAATCTGCTCGTCAGAGTTATTTTGCCGTTTTGAAGTTCTACTTTTAGTTTGCTAGGCAGTAGTGTCCTTTTTTTTACTTCAAACATTCTATCTCCGTCAGTCCAATTATATTTGTGTATTTTGCTTGTCAGTAGAATTCCTTCTTACATTTCAAAGTCTATTTAGATTCAATTAGCTTGTCAGTAGAGTCCTTTCTTTCAAATACTATTTTGATTCTTTTGGAGAGTTGATTCGTCAGTAGATTCAAGATGAAGAAGATCAGTGGCGAGCAAATAAAAAAGATTAAAATAAAAAGAATTATACTGAAGAGCAAATAAGAAAAGTACAGATACAAGAACTCTACTAACATTCAAATAAAAAAATTAGAAAGAAAGAACTCTACTGACGAGCAAATATAAATTTTAGATAAAAAGGACTTTACTGATGAGCAAATAGAAAAACTTTAGATAAAAGGGACTGTACTGACTAGCAAATAAAAAAATTAGAAAGAATCTACTGACAAGCAAATCGAGAAAGTTTAGATAGAAAGGACTCTACTGACAAGCAAATAGTTACAATTAAAAAAACTCTACTGACGAGCAAATAAAAAGGACTATACTGACGATCAAATAAGAGTTTAAATAAAGAGGACTCTACTGACGGTCAAATAAAAAAGTTAAAATAAAAAGGACTCCACTGACGAGCAAATGAAATAAATTTAGAAAGAAAGAACTCTACTGACGAATAAATAAAAAAGTTTATATAAAAAGGACTCTACTGACGAGCAAATAAAAATAGTTGAATTAAAATTAATTCTACTGATGAGCGAACAGAAAAAGTTTGGATAAAATGGACTCTGCTGACGAGCAAATAAAAAAAGTTAAAATAAAAAGGACTCTACTGACGAGCAAATAGAAAAAAGTTTGGATAAAAAGGACTCTACTGACGAGCAAATAGAAAACGTAAATAAAACAAATACGTGACGAACAAATGGAAAGAATTTAGATAAAAGGGACTCTACTGACAAGCAAAGGGTTAATTTTAAAAGGACTCCACTGAAGAGCAAATTAAAGGTCAATATAATAAATATAAATAACATAAATATGAAGAACATTGCAACCATCAATAAAGTGTATTTTCATATATATTTCAATAATGTAAAATTGATCAAATATTTAGTTTCTAAAGAGAATTCTTCAGGCTTTTAGTTTAGAAAATCAAATTTATAAATAACTTAAGCATAAAAAATATATTTATATGTATGTATTTACTGGTAGAATAAGACAAAGGTAAGAATAAGAAAAAAAAGTAACTGAAGAATAATACTAAATGTTACAATGAAAAATATTCAAAAAGAGAGTACTGTGTGTCTTGCACAAATTACTGCATATAACGTCCATATTAAACATGGCGCATACTTAAGTGTTACCACTGCTCGTCGTTGACAGTTGAGGACAACGAGCGCGCGAAATTTGAATTACAAAAATTCAATAAAGTAATTTTATCCACTATCAATCCTTTTATATCAAACATACATACCAAATCATCATTTATAATTAATAATGGAATAAAGAAACGCTGGATGTATTGTTTTTACTATATATTTATTCAGATCTTTATACACCTAAGTCTGTTTTTACACGGTATATTGGTTCCAGAAGAAGCCGTGTAAAAAAAAAACGTGTAAAAAAAGACATTGATCTTATACAAAAATGGATGATTTGTTCCTAATCTCCAAAACCTATTAAAATTAGTGAAAAACAAGAATTTTTAAGAACAAGAATTCATGTTTATTTTATTAAATCAAATATAATAAAAAAATCAAAGTAAAAATTGTTTGTACGCGCTAAAAGGGAATTCACTTAAATCTTTAAGCTAGTGTTCGCAAACTATCGATACTATCGATGGTTTCAGACTTTTTTCTTTCATAAATCCTTTTTTGTGATATGAACATACTTCGCAAAAATTAAATTTGACAAAAAAAAATTTAAGTACATAAAATTTCAAATCGTGCTAAATGGAATTAAAAACACTTTTACAAATTGCACATAGCATATACATGTTGAAGGTGGCGCATACATGCTACCAACAGTACCAATCTATCAGCCATAACACTCGTTGTTGACAGTTCACAGCCAGCGCGCGAAACTTAAATTATAAATTTGAATATGACAATTTTGTCCAATTAATAATAAGTATCTTTGTATCATTCATCATTATTAATAAGTATTTTTATCATTTATTATTATTAATAATAAGTATCTCTTTATCATTTATCATTAATAATATATATCTTTTCTATCTTTGCAGAAAGAATGGAGAGAGTCATATACAGAATTTAAAAGAAAAGTAGCCCGCTGCGTGCGAAGAAGTCAAGAGGACTGTTCATAGTGCGTGTGTGTGCAATAATTAATAATTAAAAAATTAAAATTAAAATTACAATTAACAATTAACAATTTACAATTACCACAATTTACAACAATTTACCAATAACATCGATACGAAAGAGACGACGAGATTGCGAAAGAACGAGAGTGAAAGAGCGAGAGAATCGTTTTAAATTAAAAAAAAAAATAAGATAAAATAAAGTAGGCTTAACAAAACAACGTTTTTACAATAAAAATAATTTGGATTGATTGAATGAAAAATGTGTGTTAATAAATAACTCTCCACAAAAAATTAAAATTGAGTAGTTTGATTATAAATGAAACACAAACTGAATGTCATTGTATGCTAAATATGTTTTGTTGTAATGGATACACACATATGTATGTGTATATATATATATATATATATATATATAATTTCCTTCCTCCCAAGGTCTCAAATGGTTCTAAATTAATAAAAGAAAATTTCCTGAAAGTTTCAGCTCTTAACATTAACATTTAGATAGTCCGCCATTCAATAAAAAATTTCGTATATTCATTATTAACATGGCGAATTTTCTTCCTCCCAAGGGCTCAAATAGTTCCAAATTAATAAAAGAATATTCTCTGAAAGTTTCATCTCTTAATATTTACGTTTAGATAGTCCGCCATTCAATTGAAAGTTTCGTATATTCATTATTAACATGGCGGACTATCTAAATGTTAATATTAAGAGCTGAAACTTTCAGAGGATTTTCTTTTATCAATTTGGAACCATTTGAGACATTGGGAGCAAAGAAATTCCCGAAAATGTCCATATTAAGGACCACCCTAATATAGAAATGATTTTTTTTTACTGCAATACGTTTCGGCTATAATCCTGGTCTTCATTCTGTGGAAACTTAAAGTAAAATTACAAAACTAAACTCTACTAACGAAAATCACTAAAATACAAGTGAAAAAGAACTCTACTGACGAGCAATTCAAAATAAAAAGAAAAAGGGACTCCACTGACAAGCAAACCAAAATGAAATATAAATGGACTTTACTGGCAAGCAAACCGAGAAAACAGTTTCGAGAAAGCAAACGAAAATATAAATAATTGGAATTCCTTTCTCATTTCATTTGAATTTGCTTGTCAGTAGAGTCCTTTAACACGTGTTTCGATTTTCTAGTCAGTAGAGTTCCTTTTTCAGTTTTTATTAGGTTTTGCTTGACAGTTTTTTTTATATATGTGTATAGAAAGGGACTCTACTAACGAGAATAATAAAATTCAAGTGAAAAAGAACTCTACTGACGAGCAAACAAAAATAAAAATAAAAAGGGATTCTACTGACATTCAAATTGAATGTAGTTTGGATTTGAAATAGAAAAAGGACTCTACTGAGGAACAAATTGAAATAAAATACTCTTCTGGCGAGCTAACTAAAATAATATAAAAAGGGACTTTACTGATGAGCAAACTATAATAATAAAAAATGTAAGGGATTCTACTGACGAGCGAATTAACTATAAACTTAGTAGATGAAAAAAGGACTCTACTGACAGGCAAACATTTTTTTATCTAGAATATTAGAAAAGGGACTCTACTGACCACCAAATTAAGAAAATCATGTAAAAAAGGCTCCACTGACCAAATTTAGAACAAAATGTGAAAGGAACTCTACTGACGAGCAATTATAAATAAAATTGGAAATTTCCCGTTCAACAGTAGTCACTGTTATCTTGTGTTTGTTGCTTGTTAGCAGTCTTTTTCCACTTTTATATCAGAGCAAAAACTAATAAATAAAGGAGCCATACTGCTGAGCAAACAGAAATAAAACTGAAAAAGGACTCTACTGACGAGCAAATCGAAATAAGAGAAAAAACAGAAAAATTAAATCTTTAATCATATCATTTCGTTTTGCTCGTCAGTAGAGTCCCTTTTTCACTTATATTTTTGTTTGCTCTGCAGTATAGTCCAGTCCATTTTTCAGTTTTATTTCTATTATAGTTTTTAGTCGAAAGGGACTCTACTGATGTGCAAAACGAAATTAAAATTACGTCCTCTTTTCTTTTCTTTTTGCGCGACAGTAAGTCTCTTTTTCACATTTATTTTGTTTTGCTCTTCTTGACTTTTCATCAGAATTCTAAGAAAATAAAACTGAAAACAAAACTGTACTGTTGTGCAAAAAACGAAAGAAATAACCGGACTCTACCGACGATTTCTATTTTGATCAATTTGTCAGTAGAGTTACATATTTTTCTTTCGTTTTGGTCGTCAGGAGAGTTTCTTTTCACTTTTTTTTTCATTTGCTCGTCAGTAGAGTTCCTTTCCACTTTTTTTCATTTGCTTGTCAATAGAGTTCCTTTCCACTTTTTTTCATTTGCTTGTCAATAGAGTTACTTTCCACTTTTTTTCTCATTTTCTCATCAGCAGAGTCCTTTTTCCAGGTTTTTTTTAGTTAGCTTATACACCTATAAAGGGACTCTACTGATGAGCAAATTAAACTAAAAGTTAAAAGGGACTCTACTGACGAGCAAATATAAAAAAAATGCAGAAAGAACTCTACTGATGAGTAAATTAAATTAAAAGTGAAGAGGGGACTCTACTGACGAGCAAATGAAACTAAAAGTTGAAAGGGACTCTACTGACGAGCAAACTAAATTAATATAAAAAGGGACTCTACTGACGAACAAATTAAACTAAAAGTGAAAATGGACTCTACTGATGAACAAAAAGAAAAAATGCAGAAAGGAACTCTACTGATGAGCAAATGAAATTAAAAGTGAAAAGGGTTTCTACTGACGAGCAAACTAAATTGATATAAAAAAGACTCTACTGACGAACAAATAAAAAAAAAATGCAGAAAGGGACTCTACTGGCGAGGAAATCAAAATAGAAATGCACGTTTTTTGGTCGTCAGTAGAGTTCCTTTTTGATATTTTTTCCGTTTGCTCGTCAGTAGAGTCTCTTTCTCACTTTTAACAGTTTCTGCTCGTCAGTAGAGTCCCTTCTTAAAGGTACTCTACTGACGAGCAAATGGAAAAATATCAAAAAGGAACTCTACTGACGAGCAAACCGAAATAAAAATAATTCAAGTTTCTTTCTTCTTTCATTTTAGTTTGCTCGTCAGTCGAGTCCCTTTTTCGATTTTTATTAGTTTTTGCTCGTCAGTAGAGTACATTTTTTTGTTTTTTTGATTGAATATTTAGTGAAGAAACAAAAATGAATTTGTCCAAAAAATAGAAAAAAGTTTTTTTCTATTTTAATAACGACGTTTCGGAACTGGATTCGTTCCATCTTTAGGAACATGGATTTATCAAAATTTTGATTCGTTTATTTTTCAAAAAATATAATCCACAAAACTTAACATGTTTTTTGCACATCATACGTTTCGGAATTGAATACGTTCCATCATCAAACTTTCATTCTGTCAGAAACATTTTGTTTTGTGCAAAATGTGCGGGAAAACTTGCAAACTTCAGATTTAGACGAATGATGGAACGTATACGGTTCCAAAACGTCTTAAAAAAACCTTCGCAAAAATTCATTACCTTTTTTAAATTAGAAATTTACATTCTTACGTCACATCGATTATCTTTTCTTCATCCCTAGTGATTGGTAGATAGCGCTACTATATCTATATATATTAGGGTGGTCCTTAATATGGACATTTTTAGTAATTTCCTTGCTCCCAAGGGCTCAAACGCTTCCAAATTCATAAAAAATACATTTCTGAAAGTTTTAGGTCTTAATATTAACATTTAGATAGTCCGCCATGTTAATAATGAATATATGAAACTTTCAATTGAATTGCGGACTATCTAAATGTTAATATTAAAAGCTGAAACTTTCAGAGGATATTCTTTTATTAATTTAGAAGCATTTGAGCCCTTGGGAGCAAAGAAATTCGTAAGGACTACCCTTATATATATATATATATATATATATATATATCCCTGTGTGTTCTATTTTACAAAAAAAATCTTCGTCGTCGTAGAAAAAAATTGCAAAAAAGCCTCAACTGAAATAACATCAAAAACAACTGTATATATATAATTAATTATGTAAGTTTTTTATATTAACAATTAATAATAATTATTAAATAACATTTTTTTATAAACTCTCGATTTATATAATCGATCTATGTTCGATTATCGATTATTATTATTATGTTTGTGTCAACACTTCTGGTCGTTAATTTATTATTAATAATTAATAATAATTGATAGTTTTTTTGTGTTTGTTCGATTTATGATCAATTATTTTTGATTGTAGCTTTTTCTTATTGAATATAGGATATTTAAACCTTTAAATAATATAAAGGACAATTTTATTTATTACCCCCGTACCTCTAACCACGCAAAAGTTAATTCGTGCGAAAGAAAATTTCTTTAACAAAAGTTTGAAAGATTTTTGAATAAAAGTTGTCTGGTGTGATGTACGCTTTAGCCTAAAGCCGCATGCACACTTGATGTTTTGTATATATGGATTGTTTGTGAGTTTATATGGAGCCGGTTAAGTGTGGTGGAGGCTTTAGCGCTCTAAGGCGTGTTTCACACTTGAACTTTACAAAATTTTTTATAACAAATATGTATCTTAGTGTATTTATTTTGCTCGTCAATAGAGTTTTCTTTTTAGCTTTAATCGAGATTTTTCATTTGCTCGTCAGTAGAGTTCTTTTTCGTTATTACGTAAAGTTACACAGTGTGTTAACAAATAACAAAAGGACCTTACTGATTAGAAAGTTAATTAGAAGACGATTAAGAAGGAACTCTACTGACGAGCAAATTAAAATTTTGCGAACTAACTAACTTTTATTTTGATCTAGCAGATAAAAAGCGACTCTACTTACAAGCAAACTTAATATCGAACTATAAAATAAAGGAACTTTACTGACGAAGAGCGTTAATTAAAAGATTAGACTATTAAAAGGGTACTCTACTGACGGGCAAACTTTAATTGTGATCCAGGATGTAAAAAATCGAATCTACTGACGAGCAAACACTAGATGATAAAAAAGTAAGTCTACTGATGAGCAATCGTGATTTCCATCTAGACGATCAAAATAATGTACTTACGAGGAAAAATAAGTTTTGTTTAACATATTAAAAAAGAGACTACAGACGAGCAAACTTAATCTAGAATTATAACTATTAAACTTTAGATTTTATCTGGAATGTGAAAAAAGAACTCTACTGACGATCAAATTTCACTATTGATCTAAAATAACACATATTATTTTTTCTAGAAGAATAAAAAGGGTCTCTACTGACGATCAAAATTTAATTTTGATCTAGAATGTGACCAAAGGACTCTACTGACGAGCCTAACTG